CGCGCTTGCAAAAAGCATGGGATGAGTCCTTCCTGAATCTTCGTTTGCCAAGAAAAGCCAGAGAGAGATCTGCACCAGAATCACAGAACCTCTCTCCTTCCCCTCCTTCATTGTAGCCCTCAGAGCTGCCCAAAAACTAGGTCCAGAGGATGTTCTCACTTACCAGAGCAAATTTTTTGGAGATGAGGTAGAGTTTCAATAGGAAGGGAGATAATTTCCTTTTGTTTATGCTGGATTCTGCAGTTCTGAAGTGGAAGGCCAGAGTTTGGCAATTAAGTTAGTCCTAACTGAAACTCCATTTATTTTACTGAGTCTGCTCATAGTATGACACAGGATAATACACTTATTATTATAATACACCTTTATTAATATTATCATAATATTACCATAATACACTTGGGCTGCACCTGCACTGCAGAAATAATCCAGTTTGGCACCACTTTAACTGCCATGGTTCTATGCTATGGAATTCTGGTTGTGAGATACTTAGCTTTCTCAATCAGAGAGTGCTAGTGTCACAACAAACTACAATTCCCAGGATTCCATAGGATGGAACCATGGCAGTTAAAGCATTGTCAAACTAGATTATTTTTGGCAGTGCAGATGCAGCCAAGGATTCAAGCAAATGAATAGAAACCAGCCAGAGTGGAAACACTACTTGGAGATCCAGGGGTGCTTTCAGATTATATTTTAAGATCTTCAGATTCTTCCTTTGCAGGTTGAAAATGTGCCCTCACAAAAAACAAACAAAAAAAAAAACACAAAAAAAAAACAGTCCTGCCAGAGCTATGAATAATTTCCCAACAATAACAACTCTCTCCTCAGGTTTTATGAATTAATGTTGGAAATGGCAACGCCATCAGCACATTAAGATTTGAAATGGGTTTGTTCCAAGATCTCAAGCCAAGAGTTGAAACTCTTTCTTTATTCCTCCATTGCTTTTACCTTTGCTAATCCTCTTGGATGATTTTATACAATTGTAATTCCTCTATTTGCATGCAAGTCTGAAGTGTTTCTATAGGACAGACAATGTACAATGCTTAGGTTCTTAAAATATAAGGCAGATTGATAATGTGGTTTCCTTTCC